GGGGGGGGGGGGGGGGGGGGGGGTTCACAAGCTAAAATTTTTAAAGGAAAGTATGAAACTAAACTGGAATTTTCAGGGAGTGGGAGGGGTATGGTTATTTTCTGAAACAATACATTGTCATTTGAAACTTGTAGCTCTTTCAAGGTAGCACAAGGGTGAACGTGCAGCTTCTTTTAGTCTTCTTGAGAACTGAATTATCCAGTAATATTTTTAACTCTTCCATCAAAACTTTCAAGGAATGAGAAAACATCACTACCTTGTTTACAACCTCCAGCCTTTGTGTGCAAGTTGCTGATAGAGTATGAGCAATTGCTTTTATGTGGTCATTGAAGTCTAAATTATAAAAGAGCACAGTGTATTAATTGTTCTTTAAAGAGGATTTGGTGAAATTTGTGGTTGCAAACTATGAAGAGGATTTGGGGTAATTCATGGTTGCAGAACTTTGCAAATTTACAAAGCAATAATAATTCTATATTCTGCCACTTACATCCTGGCAGAGAATTAAATTGGCCTCTTACGGGAATCAGGGTTAGATATTTTTCTGAATAAAAATAAATTCTCAATTTAAAAATGATTGAGGTGCCACTCATTTTCTGATACTCAGTTGTTTCAGTTCATTCCACAAATTAACTTTTTTTTTAAATTTAAATATCAGAAGTGAATACTGTTCAGCTTAGAGGTTAGAGATTACCCTGCAGGTCTCACTGTAGAAGTGATATGTGTCATCACTTCAGAGTGTGTTTCGCCTCATTTTTATTGACGATATTTTTCAGGATGGAAGCATAACAAATGAAGTGCATGGAGAAGTGGAAGATGATAGTAAGTTAGGTATGTTAAATAAATTGTTTAAAACTGTTTTTATGGTCTCCATGGAGGTTCCGGAAAGTCTCCATATCAATTATTTATTAAGCCAGTTGTGAACAACACAAGCAATGCAAAGAAATGATCATTGCAGTTCTGTTTGCAATTGAAGTAATTGCTTCAAAGAAGTGTGAAAATAACACCCAGTATGTACACTGGATTCTTGATCAAGCCTAAGGCAGTGTCATTGTGTTGAGTTCTTTGGCAAGACACTTTGCTCTCACTTTGCCTCTCTTTACCCAAGACTGCTAGTGAACCAAAAGGACATTTTATGGAAACTATGCAATCAACTAGTATACCACCCAGGGGGAGTAGAATACTCCTTTTGGCCTGAGAGTACAGAGATAAGAGTCAAGTGCCGGCATAGACTGCAAGCAGCTGCTGCAGCATGAAGGGGAAGTTGTGAGAGAGACAAGCCAGCGGGAAAAGCAAGCTGGTGAGGGGTTGGCCAGGTGCCTCGCCTCTCTCACTGGCTTGTCTCTCGTGGCTTTGCTGCTCATGCTGTAGTGCCTATGAGAGCCAGCTTGCAGGCTAAGAGCTGGCACTGATGAACCCCTTGGTTTCCCAAACAGAGCATAACCTTACTTAATGAGTTTTGTTTGTAAATAGGCCAGTCTGTAGCCGGTGTGTGTGTCACATACACATCTCCGCCCAGTAAAACCCCCGTGCAGAAGGTAGGCCTATGCAAATGGTGCAAGAAGTCCGGAGTGTTACAGAACTTTTCTTCCAGTGATGGGGAAAAGGAAATCTCTTGCAAGGGGCTTTGCTCTGCCTTGTGCTTTGAACAGGCCATCAAAAACATCAGGGAAAGCCAACTTCACATTCATGAGACACAGCAGGTGCTTCAATCTCGACCATTACCACCCAAACCAGCGGGTGAGTGTCAATTACAAAACGATGTAACAATTAAAATTTGGTAAATTTTGTAATTTCCTGACAAATGTTTCTGCCCTTCTCCAAATTTGACAAAAATCGAGCTTATTCATTCTGTGTCTGTCTGTCCGTCCGTCTGTCTGTCTGTCTGTCTGTTTGAGACTATTAAGACAAAGCAGAACGCTTTATGGTATTTTATCTCGTCCTTCAGTTTCCAAGAAGCCAGTACCATCTGCTCCAATAACACGTTCATCAACAAGAGGAAGTACAGCATCAGGCAAAGGTAACTATGATTCACCACCAGAGGAGATTGGCCTTGCGGTGTTGACCAAGCGAATGCTCTGTCAACAGGAGAATCGTTGTTTACAATATTTGCCTCATTAGCATAAGCGCTACAGTTTCTGATGGAGCTATGAAAGCATTAGTTCTGAATATGGAAATGACATAGCATGATTAACTGTACCAAGGAATTTGAGCCCGATGTATTTAATACTTTTTGTGTGACACTGGTTTAAAAACTCAAAATTTTACAAAGAATGTATGAACTTATTACCACCTAGAAATTTTGCAGTTTTTGAGAGTCAATCTCTCCTTGAGTGTTATACCCAAAGTGCTAAAAATTCCATTAATTACTAAATTTTCACAAGCTCTTTAAATGATTGTAGTCAATTTGTGTATGACATGCAGGGCTGTCATCAAGGGCCATAACCCGTAACACCTGTTACTGCTGAGTATGCTTGATTTTCCCTTCATGCTATGGATGAAACTGCCTGTTGTTGATAGAATTTGCTCACAAAGTAACAAGTTTGCTACAGGTGTGGAGAACAAGGCTACAGGTGAATCAAAACTTAAAGACAGCCCTGGCATGATGCCTTCTATGCGCAAAGTCGTATGTTAGTGAGGAAAAATGTAAACAATGATGTCAGCAAAGATTTGCCTCCATGAGGCGAGGTCTCAGTTTGAGATTTTCCCTGTAAAGACCTCACTCTTGAACAATAAGTAGTTATTAATGAGTTTAAGAACTAAATTTCTAAGTGTAATTTGCACCGAGTAATGTTTTCCATATACATGGAGTCAAATAATAAAAAAACTGTTCCTTTTCAGCTAAGGATGATACAGTCACACCCTCAAAGATCCCACCAGTGCTAGGTAACTTACAAATTACAGACTAACTTCTAATTTCTCCTTACAAATATATGTATCTAGTCAAGCAGCCTGGTGTTGTGAGTAAAGAACATAGAAGAGGATTTTGGCCTGCCGAGCTCCTTGATTCTCCAAAGTCACATTGAAATTAAAAGAAAGTTATGGTGATCAGCTAATGAATTCACTTTGGACTTAAAAACAAAATTATGGAGTTGCTTTTAGGTGCACATTTTGCACAATAGAGTAGAACTGTAATTAAGAGCATTCACCATTTGTCATCATCAAAAACCAGAATTTTCAATTGCAGTCTCAAATGGTATAGCAGCAATGCTGGGACTGTCCAATTTGGACTGTTTTTTTTTTCGTGCACATCTTTGATATCTTGGTCGGTTTTCGATGCCTCAGAAATTCATGTAACATGTTTATGAGAAAAGAGAAACTTTAAGGTTCTCATTAAGAAAAGATCTAAATTGCAAACTGTGGGGTATTGAAGTGTGCAAGCACAAAAGCAAGTACCCTTTGCAGTTATGTTGCAATGCAGGCTGATTATTTGGCTACGCCACTGAACTTAATTTCACGATGATGAATGTAGCCTGCACTGCAGGCGTAAATGGGTATGGGGTAGGGGAGGTTAGAAATGCCCACTCTCCCCCACCCCCCACCCCCCGTCTTCCCCGTTTTATGCTTGTTATGCAGGCTATGATGAGTGCGGACAGAGGCGAGTTGCAAGAATTATTACTATGATTATTTTGATTTTATAGTTAACCACTTGAATAATAATTAACAACCAGCGGTTCAAGTGCAGAAAAGTGTTTTTTTAGGTTTGTTCGTCACATGTCTAACTTGCTACGTCACTTGTCTGGTTATCAGTTCCTCGAGGTCTTTTTTCTTGGGAAGAGTACTTGGTAAAAACGAATTCAGTAGCAGCTCCCTGGACTTACTTCAGACAGGTTAGCCAACAGGGATTTTATATTCTTACTACGGTATTGCAGTAGAGTTTGTATGGCATTAAAAAAAATGCTCCCACTTAAGGCACTGCGACCCATTGTGTATTTACAGGTGCCTGTTCGATTATTGTTTGGATTATAAGATGTCAATCTGTTTTCTACGCCTTTTTAATACTTTTCAGTAACTCAAGAACTCTGAAGTTTGTAACTCAACTAACAGCTACTTCTTATACTTAGCTAACCTCTCAGAAAACAAACGTAACTTCAACCAGAAGCATATCACCTAGTCTAGGTGATATGCTTCTGCTTCAACAGATTTAAAAGGTTGTCTTTAGACAGAAACAAAAAACACCTTGGGTTATCAATTTTCTCTCAGGTCTCAGTGAGGTCGTGTTCATTTGGGATCAACCGTTTGTAGATGGTTGGGTTTTTTCGTGTCCTGTTGGGGAAAACCATTTTCGGTTAGTTTGGTTGATCAACTATTTCAACGCGCCTCAAACCAGGCTGAAACGGTTGATAAAGTATCTGTGTGATTGTGTCGCATGATTGTATTTTACGTAAGGGCTATTCCTAGGAGTCACCGCGTTTCAACCGGTAACGGTTGGAAAAGTGTTCTATTGAGAAACGACAACCTTATCAAGCCAAACCTGTTGCAGTTGAAACGGTTCATCCCAATAAAAAACGACCAATGGTCTGGTGTGGTACAGCAGGTGCGCAAATGGGATGGAGGTAATGGAAGTGGATGGCACCCTCCATTTTCCTCCTCTGTCATAAGTTCATTAGATTTTTTGTTAAACTGACTCATTTGCATTCCAATACTCTTCAACACAGTCCTCAACCCCTCCGTACAATGGCTTTCAAAGCAACATGAAATTAGAGGTAGCTGATCCGAGGATAGTGGACACCATGTGTGTGGCGACCGTGGTCGGCATACTGGGACCAAGGATAAGGTGTCGGTTTGATGGTACGGACAGTGCTAATGACGTCTGGCATTTGGTGGACTCCAAAGAAATCCACCCTGTGGGGTGGTGTGAGGGGAATGGAGGGCGATTGCAACCTCCTGTAGGTATGGCCTCTGATAAGTGTAGTTCTGATTTTCAACTCTGTAGATTAAATTCTAGTAGTTGATTATTTCAAAGAGAACTATTTAGCGGCATTTTCGTGTGGTACTGTTTACTCTGCTGTATGGGGAGATGTTGTGTCTTTGAACGAAACCCGTGTAAGTGATCGTTTTTCAATTGAACGTTGCCGAGCAGTATTTTCACGTGCTTGTAACCGTTTAAATCAGTCCTGTGGATGAAACCCTGGTGTGTGGCCATTTAACTGAAAGCTATTGAGCAGCACTTTCGAGTGATACTGTTTGTTATGCTGTACAAGGTGGTTCTAACTTTTTAGTCTGTGAACAAAACCCTAGTGTGTGACCGTTCAATTGAAAGCTATTGAGCAGTGTTTTTTCGTCTGATACTGTTTATAATGCTGTCCAGGTTTATTCTATGAAACCATTACGTCTGACCGTGTTCATTTTTCAACACGCGTTTTTTCTTAACCTTGTAGGTTTTAAACTCGATCCTGGAAAATACTCTACTTTTCTAGCAAAGACTCTTACAAGTGCAGAACTGGCTCCTGTGCGGTTGTTTAAAAGGGTTTGTTGAACTCAATCATACCGATACTTCATCAGTTGTACCAACAAGTGTTTTATTGCTCAAAACAGCATCCTTTGACCTTCCTTCTCTTTCACCAGGAGCCAACAGCACCAAAGGAAAACATGTTCAAGGTTGGCATGAAGTTAGAAGCGTTGGATCCTAAAAACCCGCTTCTGATTTGCGTAGCCACAGTGGCGGATAAAGATGGCGACAAAATTCGAGTTGATTTCGATGGATACCTTGGTTCAGACTATTGGTGCCGATACGATTCCAGAGATATCTTCCCTGTCGGGTGGTGTCATTACAGTGGGCATCCTTTGCAACCACCAGGTGAGGGGACTTTTAGAATGTTAATAACGTTACAACACTAGTTTGTTTCTGGCCCTCTCTCTGTAACGGAACGCTACTGAGAGAGCGCCCGCCCTTTTTTTTCGATCGTCCCTACTGACCGAGAGCCTGGAAAAGGCTAGGAACGCTACACTCTAGGGTTTGAACGTAGCGTTGCGTGACAGAGAGAGGGGCAGAACTGGTCCGTTGTCTGATTTGTTAAATGAACTATTGAATTATTTTTTGTTTCTCTTTGGTCTGAAAGGTAACACCAAAAAAGCGTTAAAACAACTGAGGTAAGTGCTCAACCAATTTGTATTTATATAAGTGTTTGTTTTGTTGTTTTTTATTTTCTCACTTGACCGGACCTTAAGGATTTGAATACAGCAGTGTTAAAACCAATTTACCTTCAAACCATTGACAAAAATGTGCACACTTGTTTGCGTAACATAACGCAAGTTCCAGTTAATCAAAGCCACAAGTAGCCTGCAGAACAGGCGGATTAACGGGTTAGAGCGCGAAACGCGATACACGAGCAAGAAGCACGAGTCGACAAAAAAAATTTATTCGACTCGCGCCTCGCGTTTTGCACTCTGTTCCGCTAATCCGCCAGTTCTGCAGGCTAAGCCACAGGCGAGACTTAAAACAAAGACTTCTGAGTTCTCTCAAACACACTTGAATGATTGCAACAGGTTACATACTAACTTGAACGTAGCCAGTTTCTGTTACTTTTGTAACTGCGAGAAATGACACTGTGATGTGATAACCGTGTGTATACAGCGTCGTGCAATACGCCTAACTGTCCAACGCGTCTGCGCGGTACAATGGAAAAGTGATCCTTACAGCTTTATTTACCAAAAAAAAGGCGATTGCAAAAAGCTTCACATTGGGAAGAATATACAATCCTTGTCAATTTATAACCAACTTGAAGGTTTCTAATAGTAAGTGTTTGTTTTCTTAGTGGCAAAGTAAAAGAAAAAGCGGACAAACTTGAAAAACCTGTCAAACCGCCAAAACCTGCGAGACCGGAAAAACTCGAGAAACAAGACAAAAAGAAGACTCCGCTCATCCCGCCTACACAACCTGTGGTAACCAATCCTGTCCCCACCCCCGTGGTAACAACACCGTCATCCTCTCGCAGGTCGGATTCGCCGTGCTCATCCGGGACAGATCCCGACGATTCTGTAACCAATCACACTGTGCAGGTGTTTATCAACCATGCATGCGAGGCAGGCCCTCACCTGAGCTCGGCTAAGGTGGCGGGACTGCCCACCTGTTTCCGCGGCACCGTCCTAAACGTGGCTAGAGACTGCATACAGTCGGTGGTGAATGCAGCCGTGGATCCGGAAGTCGTGTTCGGGTTCTTGAAGCCCGGCAATGGCAAGACGAGGATCTCGGCCAAGAGTGGCAAAAGAACCTTATCCTGCACCTTGCAGAACATCGACCGCGTGGCTATCTTCTGGCGCGTGCTGGAGAAGTTTTCTGATAATCTCCAATGTTGCGAGAATCTTTTCTGTGGAGAGCGTATCACCGGACCGTGTTCCAAGTGCGGCAAAAGTGGTAAGATTTTTGTGATTGTCTTAAAGGAGCTACGTCACGTTTTGCCCGTCTTAAAAAGTTTACCCTGAATTTTTTAAGTTCGTCGTTTGTAATCCGTGTTAATCTTCTCCATTATTTACCATCCTTGTTCCTTTATGGTTTATTACTATCTGTGGTGTTTTTCTAGCTTAGTAAACTATTATTTTCAGGCTTCCTCACGGCTTCCGTTTAAAGGACATTTTTTTACGTGTCCAAAAGAACTCAAAATACTGTGACTGAGCTCCTTAAATAATGTTGTACTACTTGAAACGCTCCCTGGGGCATCATGAACTCTCAGATCTGGGCAGTTCTCTTGGCAACTTACTTGCTACTGTAAATTTAGTTCGTTTTCCATCGAAATAGGATCGCACTCGCATGCAGGCTAAAATATTTAGACCCCTCTTGATTCTCGTCCTGTGTCATGACCCAGAACCAAAGATATTTATGACCGGCCTTTCTACTCAGTGAATAGGTGATATTGCCCGTGTTCGTAATTTTCTGAATGAGTTATCGGTATGTGAGAACGGGAAACGTTTAGCGTAAACTTTGAACCATTTTAACTCAAGGTTTTTGTGAGGAACAGGGAATGACTCACATTTCAGGCCAACATTTCAAACTCTTCAATAATTCATCAAGTTAAAAAAGTGGAAATCATGACCGTGACGGTGTTACGATTTTATTTCTTCGTTTTCTCCTTTGTTTTAGTTTCGATTGAGAAGATATATCAAACACTCAAGACAGTGTTTTACCTAATTTCGTAACACCTCAAAGTCAGTCAAAAATACTCCGCTGTGTATTATATTTTCAACTCTCTTTTCGGTGTTTGAAATGTGGTCAAACACGATCTTTCATGTTAGGCTTTTAGCCAGATGGGTGTCCAGGCGTCCTGTTGACGGCCACTTTCTATAGAAAATTTTCTTAATTTTCATATGCTGCGTTATAAATTGCTCATTTGAGCAGGCCCTGCAGCGCATTTTGGACGGCCGCTTTTCAAATTCTGGCCAAAAGCCAGTTTCGTGTTTAATGTATTACTAGAGGATATTTCATGAAGAAGCTACGCAGTATATTACAGTGACCCAATTTTAATTTGAATGATTGATTTAGCGTCAAGGCGGAATACCGTTCTACCAGAAACAACCACGGTAGCTGCAAAGAAAAGTACGGCAGGCTCGCTGAAGAGAGGTCCATACAGAGCACATGATGAACAACAACATGTTGCCAAGCACCCGAGGATAACAATCGACGATGATGGTAAGACAAGGTTCTCTCTTCTTTTAAGAAGTGGTTTTTGAACCTGTCAAAACTTGGAGGCAGGAGAAAAGGTGAAAAGCGCGGAAAAGTCGCGCAAGGCAAAGCGGGATTGATCTGGAGTTGTAGCTGATTGGCTGAGGAAACAATATAGTTGCGCTGATTGACTGTTAGAAACGTTCAACTACGTAATTCAGTTTATACCAAGCACAGGAGACTCGAACCCAAAGAAAACATGTCAGTATTGTGACAAAAAGCGCTTTGCAGGCCTGCTGTTAAACTTGCTCATAGTGTCTTGTTTATTGTCTTGTTTATTGGTAATAAAAGTCTACAACTTGTTAACAAATTTTTGCTGTTTTTACAGATGCGAGTCAGTCCCCACAAATTTGTTCAAGTTTATTCCGTAATGTTTATTGATAATAGAAGTCAACAACGTGTTAACAAACGTTTTAATGTTCTTACAGATGCGAGTCAGTCTCCACAAGTTTGTTCGACCTCACCTCCCAAAACATGGTCCGTGGTTGAAGTTGTAAAATTCATAGAGAAATCTGAACTTGCTGAGCACGCTGACATGTTTAGAAAACACGTGAGTTAATAGCTCTCGTCTCACTCTCACTATACAGCTGAATTCTCCTTACTTGTAACCGGGCGTTTCCTAGAATGTTGCTGTGGGAATTTTAATTCATCAATCAAGATTCATCAATCAATCATCAATCAATCATGATTCATCAATCGAGAATCAAGGTCTTGATCGGTGGTAGGGGGTGAGAAGGTAACCTTTGTTTTGAGTATTCTTGGTCTGCATATGTAGGTTATTGACCAAGCATGAAGTCAATTATGATATGGCTGGGTATTGGACAAGTTCTTTATTTTTTGCATGTCTATGGGCCCAGACGGAGTCGAGGCCAGTATCTAGCCATCTCAACTTGAAAGCTTGGTCAGTAAAGATTTACTACATGTCAAATTTAAAGCATGGTAAGAAATCACGTAACTATGAATGGTCGAGCCATCATCTGATTTGGAGCTGGTCGTCAGTGCGCTAAGTCGTTAATTGGGGCGAGGCACAACATGCTGCACAAAATAGTGATGATGGAGAGGGGTGCTGTTGCCTTATGTCCCACAGGGAAGAAAAAGTATTAAGGAAGTCGTTAACTCCATTCCTCTCTTCTCTTTACAGGAAATAGACGGCAAAGCCCTACTTCTTTTAACACGAGAAATGATTATGTCTTACATGGGCCTCAAACTTGGACCTGCCATAAAGCTTTTGTGCTTCGTAGAAGAATTAAAAACCAAGAAATCTTCATAGGATCTCGACCATCTCTTCGAGCTTTAACGGTGGATTATCTTGCGTTGCCGTTAGTTCCGAAGAGTGCACGAGTTTCTCCGAACATCGCCGAAAATGTACGACTAGCCAGACTGAAGTAATAATTTGTGAAATTCCTTAACTTCACTACATTCACTAGCACGTGACATTTACAGTAGACAAGTATGCTTAATACGGAAAGACAAATCGGGAGTTTCTTGAAAGTTGCTTCTGGCATGGTGTATAGATTATTTCGGTTATTTAAACTTTTTAAATTGTATACGTGGGCTTTAGATACATATTGTCATTCGATTCAGTAAATCCATTTCCGTTCTATTAACTTCCTTGTAAGGAATATGAAACGCGCGCACCCCTCCACATGGTTATAGAAAGCACGCGGAAGATGAACGATGTGGATTGAATGTGTTAGTGAACATGACATCAAACAATACTTCCCCTGTTTCTCGTGTAGAGTATTTTTGGTTCTCTTCTTTCAACTTCCCTGGTATTATTTCACTTAAACTTCCCTTGTGATTTCAGTTACATAACCAAACCGCTTGGAAACTCAAAGTGCTAGCACTTTCAATTTCATTTATAAATAGCAATCTAATCACTGCTTCGTGCAGAGTATTAAATAAATCATCTTCTCAAGGTACGAAGCGTCCTTCTTGTCATGCTTGTACCCACCCGTTCTCCAATCTCTCTCTCTTACTTTTGCCCTGTTGGACTCTATGTATTGCCTGAGAATTCTATTTCTTATTGTAGTCTCGTCACTAGAAACCCTGGTCCTTTTGATCAACACCAAGTTTTGTTAGAATAGATGCGTTAAGTTGTATTGCATCAGACCAAAAGTAATAAGCGACAGTTGTCCCTAACAAACTTATTGCTCGAGGATGAGGTTTGCATCACGCATGGTACCCGAGGGAAACGGAAAACAAAATCTGTCATTCAAGTTTTGATTTCCGTTTCCTGTGTTTCTTGGCAAGGTTTGTTCCAAATAGTATGCAGCTTGAACTGTGCAAATGAGAACGGCATTCGCCCCCTCCCCTCCCCGTTCTGTCCTGGCCGTGTGCATGCGTGTTCCGAGCATTCTGTCACTCTCAGAATCCCCGCCGGGAATTTAGTCTATTGGTTGCGCCTAAGACCCAACGTTCAAAGCTAATCATCGATAAATGGTTTGGTACCCTGATGGTTTGTGGATTCGAGCCCTTTTCGAGATCACTGAGTTGTGCTCCTTGGCAATGCCATTTCCTCTAAAAGAACCTCTCTCCACCCACTGTACAAATAGACATCGGTAAACGCCGGTTGCAGAGCGATTTCCGATTGAGTGCCCAAAATAGTCACTCTGGCCAATCCCAAATGACACAGAAAAACCGATAACCCAGTCTAAACTCGAAGATTAACTGCGTAGCAAGCGTTTCCTATACTGGACCAGTATACGAAGAGCTGTTTCCGCATTCGCGTCAAATTGGAGCGAGAACAAACAATCGACGAGGCAGGGGGTCATGGGTCGCCCCACCACCCACTGCTTCGTCGAAGCTTTTGCTCTCGCTCCAGTTTTGCGCGCGGCCAAAATGCGGTAAAAAGGTCTCAAAAATTTGTACGTGACGGGAACGCCTTGCTGCGTAAGCTGGTGTCTTTGGTACGTTTATAACCAAACTGGGTAGTATATATCCGTGGGGACTCATAAGTGACTTAAAAAAAAAAACTTTCTGGAAATGAACTAGCAATTAACCTATTTCTATTAAAGTGACAATGGTGTGTGGTGAATTTTCTGGAAAACCCGCATGGTGGGGCGTTATATCTGGAAGGGTTATAACCAGGGCTTGTTCAAAGCCCGATATAAATAACCCGGGGATTAGCGAGAATTTTGATTTCAGTTTTGTAACTTTGCTGGTAAGGTTTTCTGTCTATATTGTTTGACCATCTGTTTTGAGTTTGGATTATCTCAAACTACATAAAATATGAGCAGTGAAAAACATTTTTAAACAAGAAAAGTTTCTACCTTAGCATTAAACCAGCTTTGGAACAACTGTCGACCCAGGAGGTTACAGATAACCATTGCCTGGTTTACGCAGGAGGAGGGGAAAGGTGTGATTGAGGTTTTCAACAGGTATATAACGAAATTAGTACAAGGGAACACTACGGTACTATTTGTATACAGTAATATTAAATTGCTGAGTATTTACGGTCGGAAATGCTTCACCAGTCGGAAGTGATGCGGCAAGAAATGATAAGAAATGATATTGACTTGCAGCGAATGGAACAATAGATGAGTCAGACCGATGACGTCGTCTCAGTTAACAGCGGAATAGCTAGTGAGTAGCATGGCCAATCAGAGAACGGTGATTGTGATAGAACTCTAGTATATTTATACTAAAAGCAGATAAACTAAGGACTTGGTTTTGTCTGTAATACTTCAACTGTATTTGATCTCAGTACGATATTGTACGAATTGTACGCTGAATTCATAGAATTGTTCAGTTTGCGAGTTGCTCTTGTATAAAGTTAGACTCACAACCATTTGGTCTCCAATAGAGTGTTTGTCTGCCTTCCAAAAATTCGCGTATGCTCTCAAGCCGTCAAGTGTGACATGTCTTCCTTGGCCGGAAATGTAATGTTGTTTTCTTAGAATACAAGTTTCCACGAAAGGTATTTATTTTAGTAAAAAAGAAAAAAAAAAAAAACGCTTGCAGGGTTTTCCCTGCTGATTGCGGGAAGAACCAAAACTACTCCCGTATTGAACCAGATTCCAATGGATTACTTCAATTATCACCTAGTTTGACGGAAACACGCGCTAAAAACAGGGATTTGAGATTGAAAATACCGGGAAAAAAGCAACTGATTAGAGGGGATAAATTGCAAATTTTTACCACTTCCCTGTTTCCCTGACCTCAAACCCGAGTTCCGGTTTAACTGATTTTCTCCAGTATTAAAATTCCAGGGTGTGGAATTTTTTGTTCCTTCATCGGGGTAGCTACAAAAATTTCGTGACTTTGTAATTTCTTTGCCTTCCGACTTATTAATCATTAATTGAAATGTTTTTAGCAATCTTGGAAAAGAGATCGTTCTGCATGCATTACAAAGTCACTAATGTCAACAGATGGTCAATGCTCGTGTAAGAAAAACTGACAGTCGGAAAGAATTAAAAAATTCAGATGGCCTGGATGCCTTCAATTCATTTCTACAATGACATCTATCTGTCAAAAATTCAAAGATTAAAACAAACTTGATTGATTACTTATTTGCAGTTTAAATATGAATAGAAAGTGTTATTGTGTGATTCATTATTTATCCCAGAGGTAGAAAAAAGAACAAATAGAAAGCCACAGTTGCTGTTGATTAATATCTGAGATTTTTGGTTTTAAATGGGAACCCCAAAGTAAACTCTTCCACTTAAGAATGCCTCAAAAATTCGAAATACATGTTATCTTGGAAACGATATGTTTCTTAATCTTACGTCAGGTCGGTCGTGAAAATTCGCACAATCTAGCTGATCGGACTAAAAATGGAGTGACGTATTTCCTACTGATTTATGAAAATAACTCACCTTTCAAGCCATATTTGGTATTTTTGGAGGTGTGTCATTGACGTCAGAACCGGTAAGCGTTTTTATTGGCTGTTTTGGATGAGTTTCGCACGGAACAAGTGTCACATCATGGCCGTCAGAATACTGCTTGAACGCGAGCTGTAGTAGATATGTTGGTAATTTCTTAAAGGATTTTCTTGGCTGTTTTGGGCTGAGGGTTATCCTGGAACCATGAACGATGAAGAAGACATATCCAGTGAGATAGATTCGCTCAGAGACTTGTGTGGCCTGCAGACAAGGGACGTTAATTCAAGACATCAATTTCTTGAATCCCTGGGAAAAACTCTGAAAGCGTGGACAAACAGACGTCAAGAAAATGTAGAAAATGGTGTTGAGAACTTTCTTTCGGACATTTTACCTTGCATTTTGCGACTATCATTCAGGAGTCCGTTCTCGGATATCAGAGAAAGTTGCTCAGACTTGCTCGTGGCAGTGAAGGTATGGTATGAAACATGGATGGGGGATCTTGCAATTTGTGTTTATACTAAAAGGTAGATTCTCTTTTGTTTCAGGAAAAAGGAATAAAAGTTCCGCGTAGGGTATACAAGGGACCCACGATATTTATTCCATCAAAAGAGGTACTTCACTTCTTTATGTACATGTAAGGTCTGTGGTAGTCGGTTTTGTGAAGAAACCGGTATTCAGGCTGCACTAGGTTAACTAGTTTCATCGTAAGGCCTCAGTCTAAGTTTTTTTTAAATAGCTGATGCAATATTATCAATATGATACGCTTCAAAACATTTGCTAAGCTTGTAGCTTTTTCCCGCTGAAAAAATTATGGCGTTTGTAAGATTAAGTATTGCACTGGGAGTAAGGTTATGAGTCACTTCAATTATTCTTTTTTTCACTCCAGTTGTTAGTGTTTTAGCTCGTTGTAGCTATTCTGTTGCAGTTGTGCTTTTGTGATCGACTGTTTTACTGTTCAAGGCCTTCGTTTGCGAGATAATTTTAAGCTTATTTTCCGGAGCACGTAACCGTCCGCAAGAATATCACCAGATAGTGAATACATTTCTATTACAGTTCCATTTATTGTAACAAAATATTGTAAGAGTATTTCCTTTCGCAACGTGTTAAGTCATGGTGGTGCATATTTGTTTTTCTTACAAGCATACCCATTGCAATCTTCAGAAAGCTATAAACTGTAATTTTGATCTGTCGTAGTTGAAATCTCACTTGCTTGGGCAGAACTTCATTTCCAATGTCATCAACAATTAAAATTAAAATACTCATCACAACATGTAAATTGTGTTATTTACGTGAATGCAAGCTTTCGGACCGTGGATTCGATTCTTATCTTCTGATCATGCCTTTGTTTTTAGGTACGTTTACGTTCCCTTTTAGAGCCTGTGACACATAGTGTGCGATAGTGAAATATGTCTGTGAAATCCTGTGCAGAGTAGCAAGCTGCTAAAATCCCTTAGCATCGAAAAAAATTGTGCTCATTTACATGTAGCTCTTGCTGTCACCTTATGTTTGTTGAACATAATTTGCAAGATGGAAGTTGTGTCAAAGTCTTTCACTACGTTCTGCATTTATACTAACAGCAGATGTTGTGGAAATTTCGGTGGATCTCCAATCATTTATGGTTTCTGTGTACTGAATATGTTTTGCTAAGCAAGAGAAGGATATTTTAAATACATGTAAATGCTCTCCTCCTGGCTTAGTAACAACCATTAATGTGCTTTAAACTGGAAAGTTTAGCCTGGTTTTCACTCCTGGGAAACAAAATGCAATTAGCAGAGGGGCATTTCTTGTGAAAACATTAGTGATGCAACCACTTGTACAAGCATAAGAAATTGAAAACAAACAATTGGACTTGTTTCTCTTACCTGGTGTTCACCAGAAAAAAGAAATACCAGCTTCAACATTTAAGGCAAAAGGAAAACAAAGCAAATTTATTCTTACATATACAAGTTTGCATTTGTGTTTATGCTCTTGCTGATTGCTGTTGCATATTTTTTATTTGAAAATAAGGGCTCTTGGTCTTATGCTCACACTTTTCCTCGTGTCACAGTAAAAACCACTCTTAGGTTGATCACAAAGTAAATTGGTACTCCTGGCTTAAATGTGTGCAGTGATGTGTTCCATTAAGGTTGCCCTATACCTTTAGAGGAGTCTCAGCTACATGCAGTGAAATGTGTGTGGTTAAAACTGTACATAACTAAACCCTTGTATCAAATTAAAGCTTATAGAGCTGGCTTTCAAACCATCTTTTACTATGTTTCTCCAAGTATGTTTAACATACATGTAGTTTGATTTTTGAATTTTTTTGACAGCCAGCTTGATATACTTTAATTATCATTTGATATAAGGGTTTACGTATCTACAGTTTAAACCTGACAAGCTACATTACTTGGATGCAAGACACCCAGGGCTTGAGGTTTTCGGTAACCTTAAGTTCACAGTCATGATTGAACCTTGTTCCAGAAAGCTATTCACTTTTTGAAACAGATAATGCCTAGAGGTAAATGTCCATTCTCTGATTGAAGTAAAAGAAGCTAACATGCTGACCAAGATACCTAAAGTGTGCAACTTCCTTGTAGTTCCTGTTAAAATGTTTTATGTTGTACCATATGAATGAGCAAGAAATGAGATATGATTGACTGACATCGAGTTGCATCTGAAAATGGTATGTATAGATGCTATAGACTGATGTGAAATGTTTTGTATTTTACAGGTTCCACCGTTAGACACTGATGATGAACAGGTGCTTGGCTTGCTTGTGGAGTCTTTTCTGTTAAGTGGACGTGTTACAAATGTCACATCCCTTATTGCATTTCACCCCCAGTACCTGGAATGTTTTTTGAAGACTGAGTACTTCATGTTTAAAGGAGAAGGACCTTTACCATTTGACTGGAGATGCTACATTGCTATCATGGTGAGAGAAACAAAAAAAAAAATTTTTACAAGGTTATGAAACTATGTAAAATGCCTAAAAGGATAAAAAAGAACCATATTTTTAAGTAAAAAGCAGGTCAGCTTGAGGATTTAAGGCTGCTAGTGTCAGGGTCAGGTCCTTTAACCCTGTGATGACTTGCTTTTCAATTGAAAATGTTTCGTTTTTCCTTTTTAGTATTTGAAATGTTTTAGCCTTATAACTGGTATTTTTTTGTTAACCCATTGACACCTGCCCTAGCCTCAACTGGCCTTGACGAACTTTGACCTTTGTTCCACTTCCGATGTTATCGCCTTTGACCAAAATTGGCATCATCTATGCTCAAGTTCTGCATGAGGAAAAGATCTTTCCAATGATACCCAGATCAGAGTGATTGGCTCAATTGAGCCTGAAATTTACACGAAAATGCTCAGATATTTGAGTGAAAACTCAGAGCAAAATTTGCTGCGACTACACGTAGCTACTCTATGGTAAAAATTGCCTGTCTTGTTGATGCTTTCTCAGAAACTTTTGAACTGGAAGCAAGCCCAGTAGAAGGTCAATCACTGCAGCAAAAATATAAGAAAAGGAGAGATAGGAAAGGCGAAAACCAAAAAGCCTAAAGACGTAGGTCACTTTCTCGTCCAAAATCTATCTCAAAATTTTGATATCTGTGCATGCCTGAGTGAAAATGTCGTAAAATGCAATGCTAGTGGAAAGAAAGGCATACTGTCATGTTGCGATTGCATTTTTGAGTAGACTGGAGCTAATCTGGATCATATCGAGGCAGAAAATCTCCAAATGTCCAAAAAATGCATTTTTGGCAAAAAGCTCTAGGAGTCAATGGGTTAACAGCACACATTATTGACATGGTGAGAAAAGATTGTTACAGTGTTATTGTGCAGGTTAGCGGTCATACTTATTGTGGGAAGTAACTGGACTTGGCTGGATCAAGTCTCCACTTATTATATTTTCTAGAATTGCAATGGAAACTGTTAATTCTGGCCCAAGTGAGTTATTGTTGAATATGGTATTTTTTGTGTTTATTTTATAGGGTGCAAGCAGACATCGCTGCTGTTATTTGGTATGTCTTAAACCAATGTGCTGTCAGTGATATTGAATGCAATTTGTTCTAGGTCTTTAAACTTCTCCCTAACTTTGTGAAGTGTCCAATGGCTCACGCAGTACTACAGTGATTTTATTTTTATCTAACCACTCGGGAAAAATAAAACACCTGGGAAACAATAATTATTATAGTCCTTACCCAAAATATGTTTATGCTAAATTTAAAAGAAATGGAGACATGACATGTGCATTGTACCTGAGCTGCAACAGGAATGACAATGGCAATGGCATGAGTGATTTGTAATTTATATCACCAACTGTATGTTTTTAGGTTCAGTTGTATGAGATTGAGTTTCTGAAACATCAAGGAAACAAAACTTGGCTTCAAGGACTTGATTACATCCCAGCTAAATTGAGAGCACTTTCCGTAATCAACAAAATTTTGGCACATCAGCCATGGCTTCTCAGTCCAGGTCATATCGAGGTAAGGAACCATTTCAGTTCAAAGTGCAAGAAATACACTTTAATATAACTATTGTAATTAGGTTTGGCTTTCTCTGTACAAGTTAACTCATTTAAGACTATGAAGTGTGATAAAAAAAATATTGACACCGTAAAGGAACTATAATCTACTAGGGTTCCAGATAAGTTTTCAAGGTTGCCTGTCAACAAGAAATTTGAATGGGTCAATTCTCATTGCTCCCACCAAATTATTATAAATTTTCTATTAATTTGTTAGGTCATGTAGCTGACCTTGTAGGGTTTTTGACCCAAGACGCCCACTTATCTGGAACACTGGTCTACTATTTATACCTTGTCATACCTTATTCATACTTTTTGGTTGGATAACAGGTAAGTTTGACTATGTCTTGCCAAAATATGAACCATGGCAAGACCAAACAAGCCTTTTATGCCACCAAAGTGTACCAGAGAAGGTACTGTTAGTTATCTACCGCACCCAAGCAACCATGATATCCTAGCCATATCAGGTCAGTGACTTGGTATCGCAGGATATCAGGATAGACACGACTTCTGATTGGCTAATTGTGAATTTTGGTTAAGTCTTTAAAAATGTCTCTGCTCTTTGTTATACACTCAGACACTTCTTAAGGGAGAAGACAATTGGTCATTGTCAGAACTTGTCCAAGCCATTGTTATTCTGGTTCACACCCATAGTCTGTGCAGCTTTGTATATGGCTGTGGTATTACACCAGAAATAGACCGCGATGGAGGTCACACCTATAAACCTCCGTCACTTCAAGAGAGCAAACAGGGCAGCTTTGAAAGAGATAACCTTTCTCTTAATGGTGTGAATAATCGATCTTACATGACTGAGCTTATGGAAAAAATGAAAGAGGTTGAGGCAGAGCAAGATGCCCTCATGGAGACCACACAGGAAGAACTCTTTCAACAATTTGAAAAAGTAGAGAGTGGAGAAGGTAAGGGAAGGAAATTGATCCAACTTTGAAAGGAACACTGAGACATCTTGCAACAATATTTTGTACAATAAGGCATTTAATTTTCGTTTTGTACCGCAGATGTCGTCATTATTGCTCATACCTCCTTACTAGAAGTCTCCAACAGCTATGTTTTCTGGAACTGCAAATGGTCAGAACAAAGACACATAACTGTCTGATCAGTATGTCTGATCATTAATGCTGTGTAATAATAATAATCATAATAATTATTATTATCACCCGACTAGTGGACTAATGCAAATCCTGCATTTTAATTGGCTACGCTACTAGAGGACTATTAGTGCAGTGAATGTGAATGTTAGCCACTGGAACACACAGTTTTGATTACAATAGTCACTAGACTTTGTATGGTTGTTTTGTCCACACTGGGTCGCTCTACCTGTTGATTTAAAATCATCTTTGACGTCACATCCAAAGTTTCAGAGCTATTTGTTGCTGGGTTTGAAGCTGTTTTTGTCACTGGATGGAACTTTTTGGTCTAGTTGAAACTTAGTTGTTTCAAATTATGATTGTGTAGCTGGATCGTGAAGTTGTTGATTGTTTGTCATGTTTGCTGATGAAGTCAGCAAAATTTTTTTGCATTTAGCTTGTAATGTAAGTTGTCTGTTCCAACGGCTGACAATTGCACTGCTAGAACGTGATTCATTGGTGCTTTCATGAACAAACACAGAGTCATTCTTTTACAATCATGCTGTGATTGGTTGAAAACTCTCAGGTAGACAGAAATGCAGTGAACTAGTAGGGAGATTACGTTGTTAAGGGTGTTTGATGTACTTGACATTTATCTTCTTTTCTTCGTCCAGTTTCAACAGGCAAGGACAAAGTGTCCAGCGCCTGTGACACTCCACAGCCAGGAATTGCACGATACCTGATGGATACATCATTTGGTTACAGTGACTTTGCCAGCAGAAATCCACAAATGGACATATCAACCTTCAGAGTCCAGGATTATTCCTGGGAGGAACATGGCTTCTCCCTTATTAACAGACTCTATCCTGACATGGGTCAGATGCTGGATGACAAATTTAGCTGCACATTTAACCTAACATACAACACGTAAGAATAACTTGTTGTTTTTTCTACTGTATTTTGATCTCTTTGTCCTTGCCCTCAGACAACTGAATTCAGACAACTGAATTTGAAAGCAACCTTGAAAACCCTCACCATCCCGATGAGGCTTGCTGTTGTCTTTACCTCCATAAGGCGGCCACCTCAAATTCATTGCAGATAGTTTGGCTTTGTTTTGGAAAAGGTGATGACAGACTGTAGGGGGGGGGGGGTGGAAAAGGAGGGAGGAGAAGTGGTTAATAATTATAATGTCCTTCTTCCCTCTTCTAAAAACTATGTATTTTTACTAAATAATACAACTTACAGCCCTTGATTTCTACTTGTTTGAGCAATATATCATTAATTCTCCTTGAAATTAGTAATACTGTGGAAACATTTTTCATGTTTCTCAGACTGGGTAAAGTAGAAAATGTGGACACTTCAACTTTCCGTAGAGCAACTTGGAACTATATTCATCTGGTTTTTGGTATATATCATGATGACTACCTATACACAGAGGTATGTTATGTCTGACTTATGAAAGAAAGACCTTGAGAGTTGCTCCAAAACACACATGTATTGCTTAAGCCTGAAGCCTCAGCTAGCTAGAGAGCAGTATAATCTCAGGTGCGGAAAGAAGAGTTTTTGTTTGCTTATTTGATCACAATTGAATGCAGAGAGCTATTTATGGTGTATGTAGCTCTGTGTGTGTGTGTTACTGCTCTGTGAGGTTAATTGATGCCTATGATAATTATTTGCGGTTCAAATAATTAATTTATTGTAGTAATACTTCAATAAGTGTTTTTGACATTCTTTTTATGGTGATGACATGGTCTACTGGTTTTGACACTACAGTATCTTTGTAATCCAGAGGTGCTGGGTTCAAATCCTCCCTGCTACTACAGCTGTAGATGGGTTCTGTTCAGTGGATCCAAATTAAACTGTTCTAATCTGTGCCATTCATTTTGGTTATTCTAAACTCTTTGGCCTCCTCCCATTTCTATTATGTATATTTCCTGTCTTTCTCACGAGGCAAAAAACTGGTAGTTCTTGATGATGTGAAGAGTAGCCATGAGTAAATCAAGTGAAAACAAGAGATAATCTACTTCACTTCCTGTAGGTATACAACCAGTGACGTTACAGGATCCTTAAACTCAGTTCTAGGGCCAAGACACTGTTTTGTTCCAAAATATTGGTTTTTGGCAACTGCATGTAAAAAGAGCACTTTCCATTACGTTTTGACAAAAATAAAGTTTACCATGATCGTAAGCACATTTGAAAGTATAAATTGGGCAAAAAAGACATCAAAATTACATTTTGGTGGCACTTTAACAAGTTTTAAGTTCTATTTACAAAAATTATTGTTTCTCAATTTAAAGTGTTCCCAATTACACTGTAGTGCTAAATACCCTCACTGTCTGACACTTAAATTAAGTGATTCATTTTATATTAGGTAAACAAGCTGATGGAGAGGTCGTATAAAAAATACATTAAAGTGGTGAGTATGTTATGTCTTGACAGCCATTCATTAATTCAGTGTGGCAAACCCTGCAACAGTGTTGAAGAATCCATTCTTATAAGTAATGTCGTTTGTAAATGAGAGGCATTCAGGGCAGTTAAAAATGCAACCATGGTTTTGCTACACAGAAAGCTGGTGATCTCGCATTAAAAAATTCCACTCAACAATGATGCTGATGAACACGCAATTCAACATGGAACTATAGAAGCTAATTACACAGTTTGAGGGTTTAAGATAGAGCAAACAGAGTTAGAATGTGTGATGTGTGATGTGTGATGTGATGCATATTGATGCACAAGGAATTGAAGTTTAACCTGACAACAATGAAGAATGGATGAATTGTGGAAATTATAATACTCACACTGAAGGGAAAAGGCTCTTAAAGACAAGAACAATAAAGCAGCTGAATTATGTTCAAATCACTCATTTGGTTGTTTACCATACAGACATGTTGCTCATTTCCCAAAAAGTACTTTTACAACTCACAGAAGATCTGTCTGTAAAACTTGTTGCAATGAGGACATTCAGGCCTTGAACACTGGACTTTTTTCTGCACTTCGTTGATGATTTGCTAATGAGGTCTCCTCTTGTGAACTGTTAAAACACTAATCCTCCATTTGCCATTTCCACATCCCCCATAACACACCTTGTTCTGTGTAACCTTTGTTTCCCATTTCCCCTGGGTATTACAGTTGTCCCAAGAGAAACTGAAGACAATGCTTATGCAAAATTTTGGGGGGCAAACAAGGTGTGTTATGGGGATGTGGAAATGGCAAATATATGCAAAGAGTATTTTATTGGATAATTATTTAAAGAAATGCTCAGAAGGAAGTTGTTTTCTTGGTTTGAGAGCCCTCACTATGATATATTGGATGTTAATTAGTCGCACATATTGTTAGGTTGCCTGTTTTCCTGAAAAAGTGTCAATAGATGACTACCTGGGATTTATGCCAGAACTCACTCATTCAGAAAAGGTATGTTCAGATAGTTTGCTGTAAAATTTTGATATTAAACCCCCTGAAGGGAAGCCTGTCCCTCCAAGATCCCACCCCCCATGAAATTTAGATTTTAAAGCTGTTAAAAAAGGTTCTGATTTGTTGTAATCATAAGTTCCTCTCTATTGAAGAGCTTGTTTGAAATTTCATGTCACTAGAGTATAGTTGGTGTCTTGAAATGTTCATATTATATTTTTAGAACTTACTTCCTGGCTCGTATCGCTACATATTATCATTCAATTCTTATTCTTGTACAAACCTAAAAAATAAATAATTAAGTAAATTGTATAAAACTAAAATTTTATATCTGCAGGTGTTCATCCAAATGTAGAACTTAGTGAACTTAGTGTTTTGAACACTAAGTCTTTTGAACAAATACATGCCCAGGACTTATGATTGATGTTCTGCAGCTGCATTAATTATAGTTTTGATGACTTAAGGGTTTCATTTAACACAATATCATTATCTTCCCTCCACAGGTTCATATCAACCTTCTGCTACTGGAATCTCGTGTCCAGGCGGAACTTCTGTATGCTTTGAGAGCAATCATGAAGTATATGACGTGATAGTTGCATAATTATGTTAAAAGTGGTAGAGATAAAGTCATAAAGAAGTTATGCAGGGTTTTGGACTCTCAGGCTCAGCCCTGGTGTTCTCCTTGGGTATATTTATTGTAGAGCTCAACAGTTTAAGTCTTTGACGTGGTGACTTTTTAGAATTAGTCGGTTAGTTGAAAATTAAAGTTCATCTCTTTATTTCCTAACATTTTAAATGAAATATTTTGGCCTAGAGAAAGTAGCGGTAAGTGAATATTTTTATTTCAACCATCAAGAAAAAAGTATTATTATTAATAATATGTTCGGAGGAAACAATTATCTTTTAAGTTAGCAAACCTGTGTTTTAGAATAGCCCTGACTTATTATTGTCATTCTTTTGTGTGGGTCTCAAACATCACGTGATAATTGCCGATGTGCCCTCTTCATTCCTACCACAGCCATCTCTCAGGGGGTCGCCATGACAACGTTCAAACTTCCCACTAGTTTTCCTGCAGGTTCTTGATTGGAGAATCACATTGGCAACTCGTTACAGGCTGCTAGCAAGGTTTTCTGAAAAAAGGTTTTAAGCTTGGGTAATATGCATCATTTGCTAGGTTTTCTTACGAGTCTTGATTTTGTTGGCGAGGTTAACAAATTGTTTCACAACGCTATTCAGTGACTTGAAATCGGCGAGGTCTCCTTGAAAAAGTTACACTCTGTAATATAGGATGTATCATTTATATGTATGAGTTGATATTTAGAGTGGTTTTCTGTTGACTGCTAACCTTAAAGCCAATAATTATAACGGTAATGCACCAATCACGAGTTATTAAAAGCGCGGGAAAAGGTCACGTGAGGTAGTTGACGAATGCATTTGATGTTGAATTTGATTGGCTGCGTGTTCAACGTCTTCGTTCTGATTGGTTAAAACGTGATGGATGGCTTCTTTGAACCAAGAGTAAAGCTCAGAACACGTTGGAAAACTGCTCAAACAGTTGTTTATAACAGAAGAGCAATCCCTTATTTTGTCAACCAGCACTGTATCACATACAGGGTGGACTTTTAATTAATTTTCACACGGGCGAGAACCTTCAGCAAATCACTCTTAGGGTGAGAAGGTGTCTTGTCCTTTCACTGGTTGCTCTTCCCTATTGTAAGGCGTTCCAAATTTTTTTGTATGTGTGTGTGAGCTTGTAAGTACATTTAATCATTTTCATATCAGTTTATTATTATTAAGCCCACCAAGCACCTTAACGGGTTAAGACAAAAAGACATAAGACTCTGAAGGTCTCCGGGAATTAGGTGTTTAGTTATACCTCAACAACTGGAAGAGAGTAGTTTACGGTAGAAGCGATTTGCCGCAGTCTCAAAGCGTGCGAGCTGATCACGTGCAAATCCAAGGTCCAAACTGATTCAAAGAAGAGTCATTAAGCACTTAATGACTGACCCAAGGGGAAACAGTGATTTGTTTCTCCCGTGGGGGCCATTCATCAAGTGTTTTGTTATACCTACCAACTCAAAGATAAAAAAGACTGCTAAAAATGATTTGCTTGACGCCGGTTGGCACACAAACTTGTCGAGGTTTTAAGGTGCACTACCTTATCACGTGACAGTTGCTAGCGAGTTTTGACCCATGACACGTGACACTTTCTACAATCGGAAAACGTATTCGAGTTGGGAGGTATAACTAACTTTCTTGTCCAATCAAAGAAGGATTTACGGTGTTTAGCAGACACATTTTACCGCTGTCATTTCATGTTTGAGCCCGCCAAGTAAGGGTTGTTACCTTGTGAAAGTGTCTTGATAATGCAGTACCGCTAATTGACTTTTTATTTTTGAGGAAGAGTGAAATATGATCAGTAACGTTAACCTATTTGCCCGTCAGTATTTCAAGTTTATTTTTGTAATTCTGTTTCCTCGTGTTTTTGACCGGCTTAAGCTTTATTTTGTTACAATACATATCACTCACTCTTCCGGGGTAAAAAGTCATCGTTAAACATTGGGACTGCCAAAAAATAGATAAGTAAAAATAGAATAAAGAGAGTACAATAGACAAAATTAAATTTATTTGCAGAGTTAATTCTGCGGCAAGTAACTTGTATAATTCTTAACAGTCATACTTGCTTTTTATTTGAAGCTGTCGGTATTATGTTAGAGAGACCGAACAGGCTTGTTAGTGCAGGTAACGGCGACACATTAAAGTACCTTATTTGAAGTCCCACTGATGTAGATCGTCCTGATTTCTGAGTTTCTCGTATCACTTACGGTACCTTGAATGCGGAAATTCACGAGGCATCTGATGTTCTCGGTTCCAGACCTTGCATCGGATGACTGCAAATTCAAAATTGTCACCAATCTCCTTATATTCGTCCTCTAATTTAATGTGAGGGTTTCTGTGTTCAACCACCTCGCGGGTGACTACCTTAAACTTCAGAAAATAACTCGTCCATTCTCTCGGACTGCTTTTCTAGACATGTCTAGAGAGCAATCGTACATGAATACATACTTTATTTAGTTAGGTAGTAACCAAACGTCTCTCCCCTCGCTTTTTAATTGGTTGATGCTGTTTGTTGCTGGGTTTATTATCGACCCAGATCCTCGCCTTGTGGTCAGGGCGTGAATTGTTCAATTCAACAATTTTGTTGGGATGAGAACTGAGGCCCTGTCCACTCACTACGCCGGAGAAATTTGAGAACGACATTTTCACCCTGAAAACACATCAAGTGTTTTCCGTCCACACTAGGCCGGAGAAATTTGAAAACGCAACAATCACATTTGTGTTTGAAGAAATTTGAAAACGGCATTTTCACTCTGAAAACACATCAAATGTTTTCCGTCCACACTAGGCCGGAGAAATTTGAAAACGCAACAATCACATTTGTGTTTGAGGAAACCTCTGGCAGGAAAATCGCACGATTATCATTAGGTCATCGTTTCAAAATGTTTCCCGTCCACACTAAGCCGCAAAGCCGGCATTTTCAAATTCCTCCGGTCTGAAGAGCGTTTTCAGTCAAAAAGCTCCGCTTTCGTGACCGGTTAGGTCTAACCGTAGAGATAGATCTGCGTTTTTAAATTTCTCCGGCGTAGTGTGGACGAGGCCTGAACGTAGGAACGTAATGCACAAATTTTGAAGTTTGGGGAATATTTAATATTACCCAGTTTTAGCCCCATCACGTGATGCGTTTTAAAACAGCGCACGAGAAAGAGCATTTGATGGGTTATAACGTGACATTTGAACTTGTTTCACCCCTACTTTACGTCTGCTAAATTTAGCTGGATAGTAAGATACATTGAGCAATTGTGCCAAAATGAGAAGTTTTCTCCTTCGTCTTTTTCTCAGGCGCAGTTTCCATACTTTCATTGAGCTGATTTTTGACCTTTTTGCGCTTCTCGCCTGGAACTTCTGTTGCTCCTATGTCGAAGGATGGAATCCCGGGATGGAATAGCCTGATCGTGCGTTTACATCTAGTTTGTAGAGAAGAGGTTGTATTTCTTCAGCAGCGAACGGGAAAACAGAGATCGCGAGGTATCAGCACTAAATCTCAAATTTCTTTGCGCACCGCGAAGGCCAAACGAAGGGCATGTATGGAGGACATCAGGGACGCGATTAGAGACTGGCTTGGTTCGTGTGATTCACTTGCTTGAGGTACTGGAATAGATGACATCTACAACTAAATTCCAGTGTTCTTTAAAGTACTCCTGGAAGCGTTGCTTTATTGAAAATACTAGATGGGAAACGAAAAAAAGAAACAAAAACAGCCTCAATTAGAAAATATTTCAAACTTTGATTTGAATCAAGTTATAGAAATTTGTATGCCAAATACCTAGATAAAATCTCACTCCAGTCTACATTAGGACTACGTAATCGCAATACCTAATCAAATATGCTAAGTGTATTCATGTATTCACGTTCAGTTTCAGGGAAACAAAGGAAACTTTCACAACGCGGAACATTTCAGTGCGTCGTCTAGACAAACTTACACGAGCACTCATGGGTTTGATAAAGATATTTCTGTCACTTTCTTCCTTGGCTTTCAAGGCGCTAGAATCTGTTGGAATTCTGTGGGATATTCATCTCCGGGCATTAGAATTGATTTACGGAAAACACGGTGTTGCTGTTCGCGAGCCGTCGAATCCTGTTTTGAAATTATCGGCGTGTGCTATTGTGCAGTTTGTAAAACAGCGCAAGCTGACATGTCAAGAAATAATTCAAGCTTTTATCGACCGGATCCATGAAGTCAACCCTTTGCTGAACGCCGTGGTCGGCGATCGATTCGTAGAAGCCCTGGAAGAGGCTAGGCACATTGATGAAATCCTCGATTCGTGCGACGCGGATTCGAATGAAGAAAAAGCCATATTACTGAATAAACCTTTGCTTGGTGTTCCCATAACCGTGAAAGAATCGCTCGCATGTAAGGGATTCGCTCACTCAGCTGGGCTCGTGGATCGGAAAGACACGATTGCTTCCAAAGACGCTGGTGTAGTTGAAAATCTTCGGCGAGCCGGCGCGATTCCGATTGCAGTCACGAACTGTAGTGAGTTGTGCATGTGGTGGGAAACGGCGAACAACGTGTACGGACGAACGAATAATCCGCATGACACGTCCAAGATAGCCGGTGGAAGTTCTGGAGGCGAAGGAGCAATAATCTCGGCTGCTGGCTCGGTTTGTGGTGTTGGGTCTGATGTAGGTGAGTTCACAGATTAATATCGCGAATCTTATTTTGATGATTTTCGGCGTAAGCCTCTAATTAATCATCAGAATTATCAGATCCACTCGATTATCGATGGACGAAAACGAAGGATGACTAGCTTTTGGTCTTCTTCCTACCTTCAATAAACAAAATTCTTCGTGAGAGACATTTTTGCGTAATTTTCACCAACAAGCACCAACTAGCCAGAACGGTTTATACGAAATGATCAATTTTGTCAGCGCTCCCACGTATTGCTCCACGTACTATAGTCACATAAATTATATTACGCTATACGCATAGTTCTTCGTGATGGAACTCTCGCTTTCCCAGTAAATCCAAACTACTGCTGCAGCATAAAATTAGCAAAAACCGGTTCTTGGAGATCTAAAAAAATTCAGGACGTCAACATTTCCTATACTTTACCTGGGATTTAACGTTGATGTCTATAGCACACGCCTATTAACACACCCCTTAATAAGATGTTCGTGAAAATTACACGTATAGCGGAAAGAACGGAGGCTTCGACTTTGACCTTGACGATTCCACCAAATTGTCTTATTTAGCTACATGATGCAGTGAGGCCTCCACGCATAACATTTGCAACGAAGTTTGCTTAAAGAATCTTCACATCACTTGGATGTTCGTCATTGTGGGAGAAGTACTGATTTAAAATCAAGTTGCAGGGTACGGCAGTTAAGCCGAAGTGTTAATAATCGCGTGGAAGATAGAACACTTTGTATGTTCAGTCTTATATACTCAGACATTTGCGTCATCGCTTTTACTTTTAATTTATTTTCTATTGCAGAAATAGGATATGATGGAATTGCAAATATTTCACGTTTTCACTGTATGAAGTTCAACTACAAATTCAACATTTTTCCGTCAAATGCTTATCTTTACTTAATGAACCGTTTTCGATGTATTAAAATTCAGCTTGGCAGTGAGGCTTAGAAGACACAAACAAAGGAAATTGAATGACCATGTTTATTCATTTCTTTTGTTTGTGTCCTCTAGGACTCACTATCAAGTTGAATTTTAGTATATCGAAATTGGTTATCGAGGCTATCGAAGAAATTCAATTAACACAGTTTTATAGAAACTTTTTTTTCCTTTAGAATTTACGAATTAATTAGTATTCCCAGTATAAGTCCTTACAGAAGTTGCGGTCACACCCTCAAAGGCCTCAGAACGTTTAAAAATTTATTAAGTTGCAAAAACTAAGATGTTCCTCCAATTTTATACAACATTGCGCGAGTTCTAATACATTTTCCATCGCTGAATGATTCAATCTTTTCAATGAAATAATGAGACGTAAATTAGTCAAGAACCTGATTAAATATACTGCGCGAAAATTTTCTTTCCAACGCCTTATTTATAATTTATACTCTACGATATATTCTAGCTAAGACTCCCGCAAAATTTGCCATCAAACTACCGCGTTATTTCAGTGGTCACAATTGTAAGAAGGAAAGAATACCTCGTGTTAATTCCAAAGGCCATCTGATTTACGTTTCTTATCTGTTTATGCTTTCATTTATTTGTGGGAGCTAAGAAGAAACTACCTTCAAAAATATATTTTGCCTTCATCTGATGGTGCATGCTTAGCTGTTCACACGCACTGCACTATCGAAAACGTCTCACAAATGTTCATGTGTTTCTCGAAAAATCATAGTGAATAATGAAACTATCTTTATGTTCCATGTGACTTGTGTACTAGAAAAACAACTATTTATCTCTGTGTAACCTGCCAGACTGGAACTAACGTAAAATCTTTGCGTATACTAATGAGATTTTTTTTACCGCTTGTACTTGCAAACTCTTTCAGCCGCAACAATGGACTCTAGGTCTAAACTATTTTAGAGCTTTCTTGCTGAGCCAAAAATGAAGACTTACTTTACATACGACATTTTTCACAAAACGTTACTTGTTTTACTCTCTTACAGGTGGAAGCATTCGTATGCCAGCTTTTTTCAACGGAATATTTGGTCACAAGCCCAGTCCGTGTATAGTGCCTAATCAGGGACACTTTCCTCAAGGTACCAGCCAGGCCTTTGACGAGTTCCTTGTCATGGGACCACTGTGCAGGTATGCTGACGATTTGGTTCCAATGTTGAAGGCTATGGCAGGCCCGCGAGCGTACGAGCTTCATTTAGACGAAGAAGTGGACCTATCATCTCTCAAAGTTTATACATTGGACTTAGAGTACCCTTTTCTTACTTCACCCGTAGACCCCGAGCTGTTGAATAGCCTGGAACAAGTTTGCACCTTCTTACGGGAGCGTTTTGATGCGACAGTTCAAGACGCTTACATGAACTTGTTTCGCTATTCGCCTCTTATCTGGTCCGCCATGGTTCTCTCCGCTGAGAACAATCGACTGACAACGCAGGCTCTGAGCGGTGAGTCTGAGGCAGTGGCTATAAACCCGTTTATCGAGATTTTTAAGTATTTTCTTGGCTCCTCTAAGTATCATCACGCCACACTGGCAGTCGCAGGGATTGAATATTTACGTGCTCCGTTGCCCAATTGCCTCCCGGATGTCTCCTCGAATTTTGTGCAGATGGGCATCCAACTACGAGAGCAAATTCAAACTCTTCTGAGTGATGATGGAATCTTGCTTTATCCCTCGCATCCTAGCACAGCATTAACACACCACAGGCCATCTCTGGCGCCGCTCAATTTCAGCTACACCTCTATTTTCAACGTTCTACATCTGCCCGTCACGCAGTGCCCTCTGGGTCTCGACAAGAATGGACTTCCGCTGGGAATACAGATTGTAGCCGGAAAAAACAACGACAGGCTGTCAATCGCTGTTGCTAGGCAACTAGAAAGTCAGTTTGGTGGGTGGAGTGCCTGGCATCCCGGTAAAGTGCTTGACAAGAAGAAAGTGTAGCAAGGAAAGTTCAATGGTGATTAAGAAACTTTGATAATAATTTTTTTATGAATTTCTCCGGAATTGGGTTAAAAGGTAATTCTGCGTTAGATTAGTAGTGTCCCTAGTGAAAAAATGTTTGTGCCAGTGCCGTAACCAGAACAAACTCTGACTGGGGCAATGTCCACGGTACAATTCCCTTCCTAGGTGTTTAGGGTGTTTTTGACAACTATAAATAACAAAAACGAAAGAAAATGAATGAGACAAGTCCCTCGGTTTTGCCTGTTACTAGCTACAGACACCCAGGTGGACTGGAAGTGCGTTTTAAAAGAATGACCATTGTCATTTCTGCTCGCAAATCATCGAGTTCGAAAGTGAACGTAAAAAAAAGGCCTTTTGAAAAGTTCTGCTCCGATCGAGTGTGTCATTAGTCTTCTAGTGAGAGTTGTTGGTTCGACCTCAGGCCCATGTTAAGTTAACTTGATCACGCTAAACGCGTCTAAACCGGGTGAAAATCGTTGCATTCGAGGAGAGGAGAGGTCAAGGAAACGCGTTTTGTAAAGGTTTAGCGCGGTTAAGTGTGCCACAAAGTTTTCAGCGGGAATAGGTGGGGCGAAAGGTTGACTGCACCCAGTACACAGCACGCTGAAAAGATATAAAAGAGTGTAATTCAGTCTATAACTTTTTGATGTAAATAACATGAGTGAAACTACGAAAAAAATAGCTCCCAGGATTTTTCCCTTAAAAATGGGGTGGGGGGGGGGGTGGGGGAGGCGCTTTAGTTTCTAATAAGGTAAAATCCCTGAGAACGGGGTTGACTACTGAATAAAGTTAACAAAAAAAATCTGTTGTTGCTTGCTGTCTAACGGATGTATAGTGCATTATATCAAAGAGTCAAATAGAAAAGAATTAGCATTTTTTTGTTCATTGCTACTGATAGATATGAGATGGTTTGATGCAAAACCAGCTAGCCACGAGTTTATCAGGAAGTATGGCGAATTGCCAGAGGTGGGTTATTGTGACGTAGGTGTATCGTCCTTCTCCCATTTCCTGCTGCGAGATGTTTTTGAGTTATCGTTGCGGTTAGAAACGTGACCAAAAATACACGCAAATATTTCTACCAGATTTATATGAACCTAAAAGAGCTTTACCATGATATATAATATGCCATGTTTGTGCCAGGGACCTTATATATAAAATAACCTTGAACGGCAAATTTGCTACCTTGGCCAGTTCTAGAGAATATTGAGAGATTCATTTGATGGGGCAAACGACAAGACAAATCTACAAACGGAAACTTGTCAACGAAATAAATTCTTCTTTGTCAAAGATCTAAATCATGACCAGGCAATATTTTTGTTAGGTTGCTAAGATGCTTCATGACATGACGCGATCGAGAAGCAAAGGATTGCTCTTACGGCCTACGCAAAAGCAAAGCTATTTATCTCTGAAGCGTAATTTCGTGCTGTGGCCGGTTGCTAAGGGGGAAGAATAATTTCAGAAATTTAGCAGACCAGAAAACCACTATGACTCACAGCCATTTATTAGTGCTATGAGGTCAGGCCTAAATTTTTTTTTAAAAAGAAAAGCATCAAAGCACAGAGGAACGCTCGTCATGTAAAAACAGGAGCCCGCTTCCAATACAGATTGTTTTAAGAAGACAATATACGACCATTTGATTGATAACAGCTTCTTTTGAAGTTTCAGGAAAATAACTTTTATTGTTGTACGCATCGATCATAGAGCTTTCATTTTATTAGCCATTATTGTAAACATTTAAGAATTTTAATTTCACTTTCCATGTACACGACTACATCTGGTTCATCGAGTTGAAATTAATACTACTACCAAGAGGCCATGATAGCTACTACCCATTGCCACCGATTACTGAGTATTGATTAAATACTTAAAATAAACGAGTTCAAATCAAAGAAGTGACAACTTTTAATGTTTATACTCCACCTGCTTTTCATTATGGTAGTTTCGAGCAACTGATCAAACCTTATCATTTCACGAAATTCACTTTTATGACGTCATGATCTGAGTGCTCTATGGAAATCTTGTTTCTTATTTCTGGAGATGATTTTTTCCTAAGTTCAATTTTATTGTTTTAACTTCGCATATATATTGCCTGTACCCCGTTTTTTTTCGGTCTTAAATGGAAATGCTTTATTGAATTTCCAAAACAATGAATACTCTTCACTGGCGTGATGAGTTTGTGGCGTAAGTTCTTTTAGGTTAACAAGCTCTTATGGTTGCGTATTAAGCTGTTTGCGTGTTTCCGGCTTTGTAAACATACTCAATATAAAAATAGGACTAAAACCGATTCACTATAAGGATTAACTTAACATACAATGAAAACCTTGTTTAGAGATCTAGTCTTGAACTGTGTCGTGTAAAAACAAAGACTTTTCACAGAAACTGAATTACAGGTGAATATCAGAGGAAGGCCAGAGGCCAGAGGAAATGGTGATTTTCGTACGTTGTATATTCAGATAAACAATGACAATCTTTTGAACATGTTGATTAATAATGGTAATAGGACTGAGTGGAATCCAATTTGGTCTGTAATCACACGAGTGATTAACAAAATCGGACGACTGCGAAGCGGGAGTCCGATTTGTTAATCACGAGTGTGATTACAGACTGAATTGGACGACACGATGTCCTGTTACCAATTAATCATAACAATTACAATTTCCCACAAAAGCAAAAATTCATTTGAAAAAGAGCGTTTAATAGTCATTTTTAAATATCATAATTAAAAATATGGAGAATGGCTTGCAAAATGGCTGTTAAGTTTCTTTCAAACCAGTCACCAGAGACTAAACCTAAACAATTTTACGAAGTCAGTCTCTTGAATTGGTTACGATAGTGATTGTAATCAATGTTGTGATTGGTGGATTTAGTGGAGAGGACTTAAAATGATTGGCCCATGTAACTGTCCGATTACAGCCAACTGTCCGATTACACTGTCCGATTACAGCTTTGCAGATTAATTCGAGCAAAATACAGCAGTTTATGCACCAATCACATTTGAGGAAATTGTAATTGTTATGATTAATACACACTAGTTTTCTAGTATGTATATGTGGCATGTCTTTCAAGTTCGATCATAAGGATGATCTAGGCGGATCTTTGGTGTTGAATTCATAATATAGTGAGGATTTATGATTTCTCATAAAGCCGACCAATTCTGCTTCGAACTTCTGTTCTCAATTCTGTTCACATTTCTACTCGTCTCTAGAGTCATTTCTGCTCACAAACATTAAAGCAAGGGAGTACATTGAAAGTTTTGCCTGTTACCCCAAAAAGGGACACTTGAGTGATGTCATGTCGAGTTGGCTATTTTTCGACTTACAGACTTCTCGCGTGCTCGGTGACTTCATCAAAGCCGACCTTATGGTTGCCTGGTAAAAGTTATAAATAACCAAAACAAACATTGAGCGTAATTGCGTTTAAACGATGCATCTGTCTTTGCAATTATCAGCATGGATTTTGTTTTGTTTCATTGTTAATCTATTGCTATGACGTAAATCATAATAATTAGTTTCAAAACCGGAAGAGAAGAGTGAGAAGTGTCTCACTTTACGTGCGCAAGTGAAACGCAGCAGTTAGAGAAACAGTACAAAACATTTATGCCTTTGAGATAGACGTGATGTTATTGAAGAAGATACTTCACTTAGAAGAGGAAATTCAAGTAATATTACCGCATAATCTTGAATGGTGCTTATTTTGTTTTTATTGACCAGTTTCTCTGTTTTCTAGGTCACTGGGTCAGAATCCCTCATACGGAGTCAAGTCTTCTTCAACTGAAAAGAAACACTGAGGCATACAGACAAATTCAATTGGTGATAGTGTTGCATGTAACTAATCCTATACAGCTGAAGCATGATCCCACAAACACGACTGGGTTCTGAGCAGATTCAGGAAGAAGAAAGAACTTCACTTTCGGGTGTAGCTCAACTTCTCTTTAGAACTTGAATACGTAAAATGTCTGAACGAAACGGAGTTAAGAAACTTATTAAGTAGGTTTTCCGGGTTGTTTTTTTTTCCAGGTAACAGAAGAACTGTAGTCTGTATGTAGCTTTGGGACATCGCCGTACCAGACTCGTACTCATAACACCCTGCGGGCCTTAATTCACTGTAGTTTCCAATTCCCCCCCCGCCCCGCCACAAAAAAAGACACGTAAATAGCAATGTGTACGAGTCTGTCACACTGCAGTAAAATCATGTAAAGTATATAGAGTGTTTTCACATGACTTCAAAGTAGCCATGTCGGTGAACGGCGTCATATTGGTGTCCCAAATCACTCCTGTGGGAGTTGAATTCTTTTCTTATGTAAAACTGAACTTTCTTTTGTTACAATATATTTGCATTGCTGCTAGTCGCGTGAGTAAAAACACACCATACGGAACTGAATGTTTAGCGCGTCAGAACGCGAAGCGCGATAGACAAGCACAGAGTAAAGTAAAAACTACACTACGCATAAAAGCCTGATCAAAATCTAGGTTCTCTGAATCGACATAAATTTCAAGAGAGCATAATGGTAAAGAAAAAATTTTGCTTGTTGATGTACTTTCAAATTTTCCGAACCAACATTAAAAGAAGTGTATGACAGTCCGTAGGGAGAATTTTAAATTATGCGCGAGTTTTGACAACGTGCTGTAATACAAGCCTTTCCTTTACCTATCCATTCAGTGTTTGTTCGTGATGTGTTAGATTCCTTGACTTTCCTTGTTGTTCAGAAATTTCGGTTTGAAACAACTGAAGAGATTTATAATATTTTCCTGTGGGATTAACTCACTGAATATTGGCACGCACACTCCGTTAAGCTCCTTTGGTTTGTTTTTGATGAAGACACTCCTCTTGGCATCAATAATTGTCGTAAAGTATTCTTAACGGAAAACATGTCACAAAAACATAAACAACAGACAACGTTTTTAGATTTAATTCAAAGCGTCGTTTTATGTAAAAGTTCTGTCTCAACAAATAGCCGCTATATCAATCTAGGCTTTACAGTCGATGACTCGAAGCAATTACAATGTGAGTAACATGGTCCTTTTCTACCGTTTCTAATCTTGAAGTGAAGACAGGATATGTTGCTCTTATGTAAAATAACAACTCCCGAGAGATAACCCAATCTATCTTATTTTTAACCAAATGAACTGTAAGCCGGCCCACGGAACCAGTTTTGTTTTGTTTTGTTTTCTGAGTTACCCCGAGATACACATTCTGATCGACATAAGCGTTAGTTGGCGTAAGGTGGTTTAAACAAGAGCCGACAATTCAATCGCAAAATTACACACGCCTCAAATTTAAGGGTGTTTTACCCACAGTAAGGCACGTACAATGCGACGTTAATAGTACGCGCGTACGTTACGCCTCGTCTCCCTTGACTAACTTCGCTTTGCACAATGCACGGGGGAGTGGAGGGTGGGGTGGTTTCTGGAATTTTCTATAACCGTGACCCTGCTTGTAAGACGTGACAACGGCGACTTAGTCGAGCCACTTGAGTTAAAATGCCACCAAAGGGTTAGACACAGCCAAGAAAATGCTTGTCCCACTTTGTGTTGCCGTTATATTTCCGCCTAAATGCGAGCGAAATCTACGCTAGCTCTGAGTGGCACGTACTAAGTTAGTGACACCTCCTCGTTAGTAGTATTGTCTAACTACGCCTTGTTACGAGTCAAGGTCACGAATAACATGTAAAGCAAGCGTGACCGCGAAGAGCGTTTATAAGCACCGTTCCGCCCGGTGCCTGTACCCGTGTAGCACAGTAGAGACAATCTCCCCGTTGGTTGAAGAGAAAAGAACCGAGAGTGAAAAAAAAAAAAAAAAAATTCCGCGGAGTTTACTTGCGTTTTTTTCTATTCGCCTATCTTCATTAGGCTACCAAACTTTCCGAAAGTTGAGTCCAATCCAAGAAGTCGAGTCTACCATTGTTATTTTCTCTAGTGAGGAAAAGTGAGAGTAAATGTCTCGTTTGTGCTTTTAGTTCTTTTAGTTCTTTTAGTTCTTTTAGAACTGAGAAGAAGAAGAAGGAGAAGAAGAAGAAGAAGAAGAAGAAGAAGAAGAAGAAGAAGAA